AGACCTTCAGTAGGAGGAAGTTTTGGTTTACAATAATCTTGTTTTTCAGAGTGAGACGGGTGGCATATAAACTTATTAAATAAAATAAGAGTGTTTCTATTGATGTGCTCTGCTGATGAACTGGGGATCATCCCAACCAGTTGCAAACATGCACCTGGTGATGCCAATTGTTAAGACAACTGGAAATTAAGAACCCTTGGAGATTGTGGCAAATCTTAATTTGCCTTTAGTCTTTTCTTGAACCAGAAGTTCTTGTTAAGTCTTTTGCTGGCGTATTTCTGCAACACTATACCTGTTTCAAAATGGGAGGGATCCTTAGTGACACAGGATTGGGCAGAGAGGGATTACTTTGTCTGTCATTCACCATATTTAGCATGCACACTGCAGCTGCACAAGCATGGCTGAAACATCTGGAGCTGCTGCACTACTGCCATGGGACACTAACGCAAGCACCCTTGAGCAGTTTCCTGCCCCATTAGCTCTTCTAATAGCTCCTAAGATTTTGCTACAGACCTCACAGTGTAAAGAAGGATTACACAGTGGGGGCCTTTTAGGAGGAGGATAGCTCAGCAATTTTTTTCAGCTGATTTCCTGTTTACTCAGCATTCTCAGGTCTCCTGGAAAGATGGCCGGAGGTCTTTCCCCAGAGGAGTAAGGTCATTCCTAATAAACTATAGGAAAAAGAGGGTTTTTTCCCCCCAAACATAAATCTATAAGCACACAAGATAATCCCCAGCTGAATACCGGGGATTCAGAGAGCTTCTTCCCATGTTCACTTGATCTTCATTCAAGAAGAATCTAATCAGGCAAATCATAGTTATCAGCCCATAGTTGCAGATTGGAAGCCACAGTCTACTCTATGCCAAATATGCCTTGTGCTGGGTAGCCTTCTGCAGCGAAAAGCCACAGTGGATATAATACTGTAGCATGTTCTAAAGTTCCTCTAATTTGGGACAGGTAACTTTGGGAGAATGTATGGTCACACTGGGCAGGACAGTTATGTAACGAGATCACCAGTGTGTGTGTTGTCTGTTCACTTTTCTAAGTCTTATTATGTCCAATTTGCTTCCTACTTCAAATTGGTGGGAAATGGTGCAGTTTGTTTAATAATTTGCTGCTTAATTTTGAGGGTGTGACTTCTGGGGCTCTAAAGCCATCAAACCATGGTTGTTTGTTTCCAATATGTTCACTATTGCTCTTCATAAGGCAGGACATAGGAACAATTTGGGGGAGTAGATGAACTTTTCAGAGAAAATTTAGAAAACAAACATTAGAAACGGATGAGCCCAACATCTGGAACAAAAGTACATGGTTTCATCTCTTCTTTCTCCCTCTTTCTGCCAGCCACTTCCTTCCTGACCCTTTTTTCAGTAGTCTCTCTCTTTCTTCCCATCTCTTTATCCTCCTTCCTGGAATGCCACCAAGAAAGGCATATCTAGTTTTTTTGTGCTTTTGGAATTTGGTCAATGAACATATGAAATAAAGTTGAAATTTACCTATCCTTGACCATAAAGGGGGTCTGCAACTGGAGATCTGCTCCTATGATATATTGTTATTAGATTTATTTCCCACCTTTATTTTGTAAAACTCAAGTGTATATAATGCCCCTTCTTCTTATTTCCCTACAAAAACAATCCTGTGAAGCAGGCTGGACTGAGAGAGAGAGTGACTGGCCAAAAGTCACACTGTTGCTGTTAGTATCTAAGGAAGGACTAGAACAGGGGTATCAAACTGACGGCCCATGGGCCGGATGCGTCATGCCAAAACCGCGCCCACCCCATTGCCAGCAATAGAAAAAAAGTCGTGATACGTCACGACACGTCTTGTTGCAAGTTTGACACCCCTGGACTAGAACCAGCGGTGTGATAGATCCAAGAGGTACCAGCTTGCCAGAGCAACTGATACATTTTTGGGGATTTTGATAGCAGAGCTAAGCCCCTATACTTGGTACATCAATCAGTTGTTTGGTGTCTGGCATATGGCATGATGGTGACAGCAGAGTGGGTTGCTAAATATTTACCAGCACACCACAAACTAGAACTCCCAGATTCTAATTAGCACCTTAACCACAGCAACAAACTGGTTCTCAGAATTCTTTTTGTGGCATTTCGAGCAAATTAATAACTGCCTATTTTTAGCTTTAAAAAGTTCTACCTATGTGAAAAAGAATCCGGGTCTCCCTGTCCTCTACTCTCCCATTCCTTTTACTCCTGCAACTCTGTAAAAGAAATTAGAGTTTGTTTCAAGACCTGAAGAAAAAGAGAAAAGAGGATGAAGGAACTAGCAGTGAAATCAGGAAGGAGACACAACAGCCCTGGAGCTTTTAAAAGGCAAACAAGTATTATTGCCAGGTAAAAAAATCAGGCATCCTTAATTCCATCATATCAACCTTTCCCATCCTTGCATGATCCAGATACATTGGGGTTGCAAGTCCCATAATTTCCAGTTAGTTGCCCCAACACAATTGGAGGATGTCAAGTGAAAGACCACGATGTACGTGGCGATGCAGGATAAATTTATCCTGCTTGCAATGGCTAATCTCTGACTTGATCTTTGACACATGCAATTGCAAATCCTTATTTAGTAGTGTGACAATCAAGCAATGTGAACAGGTAACTATGAACAGCCCCAAGATCAGTGCTTCACAATCTGAAGCCCAAACCCTTCAATGCAACTTCTACGGCCCTTCTGCCAATTGCTGCCAAATTGTCATTTTTTTTAATATGGCAGTCAGGGAAATTAGTTGCTGCTAAGGAAGTAATCCTGTTCACAGCATTTCATTATTTCAGCTTTAATTTAAAAGGCAACGAAATCAGGTTTTGTTTCTTTCCTGGCCTTGTCTGATTACTGGAGCAGAGCTCCTGGCGCACCCACTCCAGGATCTGAAAAAGATCCTGCAGCACCCTTAGACAACAAGCAGCCCATAGGCAGCCTTTGGTTAGCAAAGATGCCATTCTTAGATCTTAATGTGAAGTGGATTAACTCCCATCCTGCAATTATTAATGGCACAAAACCAAGCACTTGGCTCCTGTTTGCCAGATGATCCTTGAACTGGTGGGGTGAGAAGGAACAGAGATGAGAGGTGTGTTTGTTAAATAATGCAATGTGCACATCAGGTGTCTGTGAGGGAGAAAGGATATGTCTGCTTTGATCGCCTCTGAGACGGTCCAAACGGACTCCACAAAGGTCCGCCTAATTGCCACCAGTTTAAGGGCCACACCACAAAAGTGGGTAAGGCCAGCAGCCATTTTGGAAGGGGGAAATCAGAATAAACAATTGTACCTGGATTGCAAACATCTGGGCAACTACAGGTCGTCCTCAACTTGCAACAGTTCGTTTAGTGACCATTCAAAGTTAAAATGGTACCGACAAAAGTGACTTAGGACCATTTTTGGCACTTAGGATCATTGCAGCATTTCTCCATGGTCACATGATTGACATTTGAATGCTTGAAAACTGACTCACATTTATGACAGTTGCAGTGTCCCCGGTGTGTGTGTGTGTCATGTGATCCCCTTTTGCCACCTTCTGACAAGCAAAGTCAATGAGAAAACCAGATTCACTTAACAACCGGGTTACTAATTTAATGACTGCACTGATTCACTTAACAAATGTGGCAAAAGTCATAAAATGGGACAAACCTCACTTAACAAATTTCTTGGCCACATAAATTTTCAGCTCAATTGTGGTCATAAGTTGAGGACTACCTGTACTGGATGGCAGCAAACAGAAAATTCAGCTTTTACTACCACCTTGAGTTAATTTGGAGCTTTGAGGTCCTAGCTCAGAAATTTTGCAGAATGAAATGTGTTCACTCACCCATCCATCCATCCATCCATCCATCCATCCATCCATCTATATCATCCTATAGCACTTTGGATCCAGCATACAACTTTTTCTATGGAGGCAATTTCCAGGATCGTCAGATGGGATGCAAACCATCAAAGCACAGAAGAGCGCTAAAGAGTAGGCACTCTTTAACACTCCTTTTCTCCTGTCTTTGTATGAACACACTATTCCAGACTCTAGAGTGCTGCAGGTTAAATGATTTTGTGCACTGATTTAGTCTCGTTTCATTTCAGACATTCTCTTTCACCAAAACCAGCATGAGGCTTACGTGCAATTGATCAAGATTTAACGTAAGGATAGCTCATCGGATGCCCTCCAGATGTTTTGGATTTTACCCCCATGAGTCCCACCATGGCTAAGAGGAAGGAATTGGGGGGGGTTCCTTGTCCAAACATCTGGAGGGCATCAAGTTGCTTGTCTGATTGAACCATTTAAAATCTCGGCCACTTTTTTTTAAAAAAGAGAAACCAAACAAAGCTGTTTCTTAAAATACATATCAGGAAATGGCTCAAACAGGCTGACATGGCATTTGGCCAATCAGCTTTCACCCAGCTGGGGTCTTAAGACTGTGGCAATACGAAGCAAATGTCAAAATTAGCTCTCAAGCACGGAAGCAAAATTCATCAGACTAGTTCGTCCGCACCCTCCTGAGTATTTTTGCATTTAACATCACTGTAACAACAAAGACAACCCAATGGAAGGGAGTATGTGTGTGTCGGCGGGCACACAGTAACTGTACACTTTTAGAAGTATAGTCATGTTAAGTCAGCCAGAGGAAAAACACGACTAAAGCTGTTCCTTTGTACTAAACTTTTGGGGGCAAGGCGAAGCGAGAGGGTGTTTCAGCAGGAAAGCAATGAGAGATCCTAGTTACTAGCTACTTTCTTAAGTGAGCAAACTTTCAAAAAAAAAAGAAAAAAAAGAATGAGGGACTAAGCCAACAAATTTGCCATCCCATTAAACTCTCCTTGTTTATTTCACTCTGTATATCAAATGATTTGGAAAATCAAAGACTGGGGATGGCGGGAACTGATACTGCCAAATCCAGCAAACACCATCCCAGTCAAAGTCTGTTACTCAGTTTGAGAGAAAAACCACATCTCCCACCCCACCCCTGCCTTCCTTCTTTATCCTGCCCTCCAAACACCTACCCGGCAGCTACTTGGTATTCGGGCACTTTCTCTTCTCCCCAGGGCTCTCAGGAGCGTCTCCACCGTGCTCCGGGGCTTCATGGTGACCGAGGAGACAATAACACATGAATCCTACTTGTGCCTCTGAGCCTTGGCTTGCCAAAATGCTTGAGCGCAGATCCCACCGCCTCACACTGCCAAGAGGCGCCAGCCCTCTGCACAGTGCCAGGGGCTGCCGTCAGCTACACTTCTGCTGGCTTCTCAAACCAGCCCATCCCTTGGAGGATGTGAGGCTGGAAACAATGAGGCAGGAGCCGAGCTGGGCTGCGAGTTCAGGGCAAGCTGTCAAGGGAGCTCCATTTCCTGATTCACAATGGCTCCTTCCCCCTTGCGGGGAGGTAATGGAAAAGGAGGCAGCAGCAGGGAAAGAAGGATGGATCCCCTGGCAGAGGTGCAGAGGGCTCTAGGTCAGCCCTCCAAGCCTGGGCCTTTGCATCATCAGCAACTCCAAGGAGCCAGAAATCAGGAAGAGTTTGGCAGAGGGTATAAGGAAAGAGACAAATGAGACCAAGGATTGCATAGGGATTCTAAAAGAAGTCAGTCAGTCTCTCTGTCTGTCTGTGAATGGTGCAGGAGAATGGCTATTGGGATGACTGTATGTCATAAGGGCAACCTCCTCAGGCACACATAGAGAGATACACACACAGAATTCCTGCAGGTAGAAAATGAACAGCCCAGGGGAAAAAGAGCACTGTTTTTAAACCTCAGCAACTTTAAGACACGTGGACTTCAACTCCCATGGTCATACTGCCATGGGAATTCTGGAACTGGAAGTCCACACATCTCAAGTTGCTGAGGTTGAGAACTATTGCTCTGCTGAACTAATTTTCTAGCATTTGGTGGTTTCATTATTTAAAAAAAAAAGAGCCCTTAAAAATCAGGGATTCAGACCCAACCTTGTTCAGTCTTTCATTAATTTCCGTAGGCTAGCAGTACTGTACATTACACAGATTCTCCGGGTTAAGAAAAGGATCCACTGACTGAGAAACAAATGAGTCTGTAGGACAGACTTCTAAGCAGAGCTGGTTTTGAGGAAGGGATCCCTTGAGCCTGGCACCAGGGTCTCCTACACAACCATCACAACAACTTTATGCATCACACTTTTGGGCTTATAGTTTGTGATACTACCCAAATATGTTCAGGAAGGCAGATACAGCATTCAGGGATTCTGCTTGCTGACCTATCCTTGGCAGTTACTAGAATATTCAGCCAAAAAACCTCATGAGCTCTCTCACTATTCTTACTACTCTATAGGGAGATCTTAAATTGTGAAGAAATTACATCTTTGATGTCCCATATGCATTTAAGTTAAGTGCCACATTGTGATCTTTGAGAAGCATGCCAAGGATAGATTGGTGGCCAGGACAAAAATGAAATTTGTTTTCATTCTATTTTCATTTTAAAAGAATGAAAATTAAATATATATTCTCCAATTTGCTTGGCAAGGTTTTTGCAAGAGGTTTGCCACTGCCTGCTTCCTAAGGCTGAGAAAAAGTGATTGACCCAAGGACACAGAGCTGACTTTGTGCCTAAGGCAGTCTCCTGGTATCTAGCCTGGTGCCTTATCTACTACATCACACTGGTAACCCAAAAAAAAGAAAAAGGTCCAGCATGACCTCTGTAACTCCTTGCATTTTCCTCTACCTGTCAAGAGGCAGAATGTTTAGTTCATCACAGTCCTACATAGGCAAATAATTCCTGTAATACTTGCAGAATTGAAGTGACTTTATAAAGTGCTGCCCTATGTATGGTGCTAGCTTCTACGCTGGAATAATCGCAGCATAGGGAGAGGAGACCATTATAGAGAAGGACCTTAGGAAACCTTATGTCTCTTCCCACAGTGAGCCTTAATAAAAGCAAGCTTTGTACAAGTAATTTTGTCCCTCATAGCCTTCCTTAATCTGATAAGGAACACTACTGTACTTCCAAAATGTTTTAGATAAAAAAAAGAGAAGAAGGAGTGAAGGAACTGTAGCAAAAATAGAAAAAGTGCAGCCCAACTGGAAGGCAAGATCATATAAAGAGAAGCAACCCCTCCCCCCTCAAAGTCAAAAGTTCAGACTAGCTCTAGGTTGCAAACTGCCAAATCATTTCTCTTGCCTCTAAATACTGTAAATTGGATTTACTGTTTTGTTGGTAAGCCCTACCTTATGAATATTATCTTCTCCAAAAGGGATTGCTATCTAGCACAGGGCTTTTCAACCTTTTCACCCATTGTGCCACTTTTAGGATATGGCAACATCCGAGTACCACCAGTCGCCTAGCAAGGTGTCAAAAACGTGATGACAAAAAAAAAAAAAAAAGGAAAAAAGTGATAAAGTACAGGTAGTCCACGACTTACAACAGTTCGCTTAGTGACTCTTAGAAGTTACAATGGCACTGAAAAAAGTGCCCCCCAAGCCACAGCCGAGCAAGACACCTGCCTGCCCGCCCGGCAGCGCTCTTCCTCCCGTCCGAGGTTTTCATTGTTGTGAGCATTTCTGTTGAGGATTGGCAGTGGGGGTGGGGTGGGGGGTGTTTGGTTTTTATTCCCCCCTCCGTCTGCTGGGTGGTTGCAGCAGGTTTTGGTCACTTCACGTGACCCTGGGACACTCTGACCGTCATAAGTATGAATCAGTTGCCAAGCATCTGAATGTAAATCACAAGACCCTGGAGAGGCTGCAACATTCCAGCTGATCGGCGCTTCTTCAGGGCTCAGCGGAAGCGCCAGGATCAGTGCCAAGCTCCAGCTGGAGCCTGGCGCTAATCCTGGTGCTTCCTCTGAGCCCTGACAGCCCCGAAGAAGCGCTGATCCTGGGGCTTCCACTGAGCCCTGACAGCCCTGCAGCTCCAGCCGTCTCTCGCTCAGGCTTGTGCGGTGCTGCCACCGGTTCAGCTCATTCCCCTCCCCCGCTACCACTTTTCTAGGATGGTCGCGTACCACCTGCCAGGTGCCAATGTACCACAGGTGGTACCCGTACCACTGGTTGAAAAGCCCTGATCTAGCAGACACAGAGAAATCCCAGATTATGCCAAATGAAATACTTGGAAAGAGCTGTCAGTTCCCCTTGTCCACACAATTAATTACATTGCCATACCTGATGTACAGCATAGATTTTCTCCTATGGGAAGGATATCACATTTGAAAAGGCACCAGATCTTCAGCTCAGCAAAGAGAAAGAGGGAAAGACAACGAGAAGTCAGTCTCCTAATACATAGATGGAGGTTGCATGCTTCTCGCAATAACTTAATTCTTCTGGGTCATGTAGGACAATAAATTATTTTTTCTTATTTCAAAACTTTTGGATGCAAATTCATAACTCTACAGTGAGCCAAAGACAATGTCCATGGGACAATGTCCAAAGAAGCAGATAGGGATTACTTCCACCAACAATGGTAAAATATTACTATTATCTCTAGTACTACTATTGGAAACTAAAGTGGAGAGGAAAAGGCCAGTGATTATATCAGTGGTGTATATAAAGACGCTGGAGCCCTATTCAGTTCTCATCTGGTTACATTTTTTTAGACTCTTAACTCCTTATTCTGTAACTAAGAGCATGACACCAATGGAAGATAATATTTGTTTGTCCAATCACACAAAAGAATATTCTATTCCATTCCATTCCATTCTCAAGGCTGAACTGTAAAAACTTTGATGCTTTGTGAGCTTAGCTGTTTTCCTGCAGATGTTTCATTACCTAACTAGGTAACATCATTAGTGATAGCATGGTTAAGATCATAGTTGTTGTTTTTTTTACAAGTTCCATCTGGTGGATCCTGGTATTTCATTAAAAACAAAAACCTCATTCCTAAAAGTCTTTCTCCACTAAGGAGCAATGGCATTTTTGTTTGTTTGTTTGTTTGTTTATTCATTAAATTTCTACACCGCACATCTCACCTAAGTGACACTGAAGATTATCCATCCTCAGGCCAGCAGAAAACTACATTGGCATGAAATCTGCTGCCCCCATTGCCAATCCATGGTCTGTTGTTATGGCTTCTCTTCCTGGCCACTGCCAGTGAAAGTCATGGGTGACAAAGCCTAATTTTACACAGCTTGGAGGAGTCTGGAACAAGGGGGAAAATAACACTGGTTAAAGCTAAGGATACATACACTCACTCATACACTAGGGATAAGATAAAGACAGCATCCTAAGAACGTAGCCGAAAAAGAGTGTTGTCAGAACATAGTTGGACAGTGATTAGGTGTGAGTGCAAATATTGTTTAAAGTGCTGGAGTATTAATTTGCAATTCTACAACTCTCTCTCTCTCTCTCTCTCTCTCTCCCTCCCTCCCTCCCTCCCTCCCNCTCTCTCTCTCTCTCTCTCTCTCTCTCTCTCTCTCTCTCTCTCTCTCTCTCTCTCTCTCTCTAGTACAGGGAGCTTTAGACAGATCATCCTCAGCACCATAAATAAAAAAGCAGACTGCACATTCCCTTAATTTTTTCCCCTCCCCCTAGAAAGAAAGGATTAGGGAAGAAGTGCTGGGAAAAGACTTGACAATTGTCAGTGGAAGATGAAATCATCAGGATTTTTTTTCCCTAAAACTCCACGAGCAATGCAGGCCATTGTGCCATGGAAAATCTCGCCTGGAAGGATTCCAAACCAAATCACCCTCTCTTTCTCCTGCCTCCTCAATCTGCAAACTAAAATACTATTAGCCATCCGTTATCACAGCACTGCTAAATGGCTGGACAGCACTACATCCATTCAATGACGTACTATAGAGATTACTCATAGCTCATTAAAAACGTATCAAATTATTTGGCTGAGACGATAAACTAAACTGATGAGCAGGGCGAACCAGCCAAAAGAATCAATGAGGCTGGCCAATGCCCCAAAGTTACTCGATCCCTAGCTCCTGCCCAGCCAGCAGTTCGAAAGCATGCAATTTTGCCAGTAGATAAATGGGTACCACTTAGGTGGGAAAAACCTAGCTGTGCTTGTGTGTGTGAAGAAAGCAGAAGCCGGCACTGGACCTGGCTGGACCCGAAAGCGAGGCGAGGCGTGACTAGATCGGCAGAGGAGTCCGGAAGAGCCAGCAAACCTACCATTGCTAG